TCATATAACTCATACCACTGCAGGAAGGAAGAGGTACTGTTTACTTTGCTCACATCTGATGTTCCTACCAGCTGCCCTCTGTGCTGACTCCTCACTTTTGTCTATGTTGGCTAGCATTTGACCTTCTCTAGATTTGAGGTAACACTCCCTCAGAAGAGACAAACATGAGCTGTGACATAAAGTAACAGATCATAATCAGGAAACTTTAAAAATATTATGGTTAATATCACATTTGTCTTTCTGTGACCAATGTGTCTTTCACCTGACCAATTCTTCCAATGACAACTGTTTTACATAATTTTTATTATGTAGGTATTTCCCAAGTATGTTCATGGGAACTTGTAAAGTATGTGGGATTTGTAGGCACACATGAACTCAATTCTTCTTTTCATTCTTGGTCTAGACAGGTCAGGGATAGCATTTATTTTCTATTTTGCATCTCAATATATGTTTTTTCTTGTCAATTCAAGATCCACCCTTCAGTCTGATATCAAGCTTTTTCAGAGTAACATGACATACATAAAATTATTTATTCTATTTAATAGGGAAAAGGCAGGGAAGCTGAGAAACTGATAGGATTAAGAAAAATCCATAGACTATTTAGCCTTCCTTCAATAAAAAGACCCTAGGTTAACTTGCCACTAGTAAATTCATAGTAAATTAGAGTTACAACAATATCAATGCTATATCATCATAGCTTTCTGCATTAAACTTATTTTTCAGATTGTTTTTCCACTCAAATATGCTTCATTATCAGAAGCATCAAGTCTTCAAGGCTCTAGGCAACTTGAGTCCTATTGCTCCAATCTGATGGGCTATTTTAGGATTTGCACAAATTTTCTTTAGCAAATATCTTTTTTCATTCAATACCATTTTCTTCACACAATCCACTGCCTTCGATCTGAAGAATGAGAAATTGTTTCCTTCTCTCTTTACATTAAAAGGTGTAAAATAAACAAAGATACCTAGAGCATATGCATATAGTTACAACAGGAAAGAGACATTCTAGAGCACAAACTTGCTGAAACTAGTTTTAAGAATAATTTCTGCCTTCAACATCTTGGATCTTCAGGATTCAGTGCTGCTAAAACAACAAAGTAACTCACAAATATACTGCATAATGTTCTCATAAGTCAAAATTATTTCAACAGGAATATATTGTTAAGGAGTGACAGGGTGGAGAGGATGTATTATGATGAAGCTGTATTGATGAGCAGTGACCCTTGAGGCTACCCAAAAATATACAACACTGTCCCCCTGCAAAAATTAAGTCAAAAAACCCCAAAGCTAAAACTCCCACTTTATCCCCATCTGTCAAAGTTCTTTCTGTTAGTCATTTCTAAGACCTTATACCTTTTAGCAACATCCAGTATTAAAAACTCACGTTTCAGACTTTGGTTTTGCTTAGTTTTATAGATTTTGGGCTTCCTTTTCAACAGGGTGCAATAAAATTTAAACATAACTGAAGAATAATATAACAAGTGAAGGGTAAGGACATACCAAACCGGGAGGCTGTATTTTATCCCTACTGCCTCATCTTACTGGAGATTTCAAATAAGTATCCTAAACCCCAGAACTACTTGTGAAAATAAATGACTTCTCTTAAAAGAAAATAAAAATTTCTGAGTAAAAGAAAGAGAAAGAGCAAGAAATGCAAGTATTACTCACTTTGTAGTAGTATCACCTTTATTTTGCCAGTGGCTAAACCCAGCTCAAAAACTTATTGATAAGCCCCAGGTACATATATAATGTACTGACATAGATTGATCTAATACTGATAGATACCCAGTAGATACAGTGTGGTGCCAGGATCAGGACTGGTGCCATGTGCTGGGTGGCTGTGCTGGCAGCATAGCCATAAGCTCATCCCTGTCGGTCCAATGCACGCATCCCTGCACCGAACACGTGCTGTATGCTAAACCTTGTACCTCTGCTGAGGACGGACCTAATACCCGGCTATACTCGGGTCTTCACTCAAGGCGAAGGTGTAACGACTGTTATACAATTAACCAGAAGTGAGGCAGCATCTGCGTTTCCTTTAGTAATAGTCAGTGGATGCTCTGTGCATCCACTTTCCAGGCTAATGCACCATCTCCTCGCACAGCCCCCCAGCCTCCACCGCTCCCAAACGCTCATTCCAATGACAGCACTGAATAAAGGACCACAGCCGCTTTGAGATGAACGCTTCACACCCTCCACGCGAAGCGCGGGACCTGTATTTGCCACGCCGCCCTACAGCCTGCGGGCACCTCGAGCCCCGGGATCAAACCCCTGGGATGGACTGAACCACGGCGGAAACGCCGCTCCCATCCTGCCCCTCCGCCGCGGGCACTGCCCGACAAGGGCGGCCTCGCTACGACCACCGCCACGGGGCACCCGCAGCAAATTAGAGGCAGCAAATTAGCGGGACCCCGCCTGGCTCCCACCCACCGCAGGGAGCCCGGTCCGGCCCGGCCCGCGGGGCAGCCCCAGGGCACCCATAGCGCCGTTTCCCAGCGGCTGCCGAGGGAGCACCGAGGCGAGGCCACCGGAGCGCGGCGGGAGGCACCGAGAGCGCGGCGAGCGGTGAGCTCGGAGCGCGGCCGAGCCGCCGGGACACTCACATGAACCGAGAGCCGCCGCCGCCGCCCGCCGAAGAAGGCCCCGCTCCCGGGGCTGCTCCACGAGCGCCTGACGTCTGCAAGCAGGCGCTCGGGAGAGCCTCGCTCCCCCGACAAGCACAGGGTTTAGGCGCCCAGCGCGTCGCTCCCGGAGCACTGGCAGAGCGCGCACACACACGGGGAGAAGGGTGTTAAACTCTCTCTCCCTCTCTTTTTTTTTTTTTTTTA